GTTGCTAATGAAGCACCATAAGATTTAAAGGCAAATCTTAGAAGAGCATATGCTCACTTTGATTAAGAATTCTTAAATAAATGTTAAAAGAAACCATAAGAATTTAAAGCATGTTTATTTGCTTTATGTCATTTCCATTCCTTAGTCTTAGGTAGAAAGAAGTTTGGTGCTTAAGGTTGGTCAAGAATATATAATTTTAATGATGGTGATCTTACAATTTGTGCTAATGTCTTGTATAATTATTTATCTAAATATGATGTTGTTCCTTGGGATGATTTGAAATATATTTTTGGTGAAATTATGTATGGTGGTCATATTACAGATGATTGGGATAGAAGAACCAATGCTACATATTTGAAAGTCTTAATTAAACCAGAATTATTATAACCTGGTTTTAATTTAGGTCCAGGATTCAAATCACCAGATCCTTCAAAATTTGAATATGAATAATATAAAGAATACATTGAAAAGAAATTACCAATTGAATCTCCATAAATGTTTGGTATGCATCCAAATGCTGAAATTGGTTATTTAACTTAATAATGTGAAACACTATTCAGTACCATATTAGATGTTTAAGGTGGTTCAAGTAGTGGTGGTGGAGGTAAAAAAGATGATGGAGTTATGACTTAATTAACATTATTAAAATCTACAACTCCTGCTGATACTAATTTAATGGATGTTACAGCTAAAGCATCAGAAAAAACACCTGATCAAATTGTATGTTTATAAGAATGTGAAAGAATGAATATTTTATTAGGTGAAATCAGAAGATCACTTGAAGATCTTAGACTTGGTTTAACTGGTGCATTGAATATAACAGATTAAATGGAAGCTTTATCTCTATCATTACAATTCAATAAAGTACCTGCTAACTGGGAGAAATTTGCTTATTTCTCAAGAAAAGGTTTGGCTGCTTGGTTCAATGATTTAATTGAAAGAACCAATTAATTAGCAGCTTGGACATAAGAAATGGTTACTCCTATTTCATTGTGTATTAGTTATTTGTTTAATCCTATGTCATTTTTGACTGCTATCATGTAAAAGACTGCTAGAGAATAAGGATTACCTTTAGATGATGTAAGATATTATTATTTATATTATTTAGATGGTTTTATAAACAAATGTAACAGGTGCCAAAGGACATGAAGAAGTTACAGTTCCAGCTGAGACTGGTGCTTTTATCCATGGTTTATATTTAGAAGGAGCTGCTTGGGAATTAGGTGGTTAAGGATAAGAAGGATATTTGATAGAATAGAAATAGAAGGAATTACATCCAAAATTACCAGTTGTTAATGTGATTGCTGTGACAGCTGATAAAAAGAAAAAGATTGGATAATATTAATGTCCAGTTTATGTAACTTCAATGAGAGGACCTACATTTGTATTTACAGCAAATCTTAATATGGAAAATGAAGATTCAGATGTTTCAAAATGGATTCTCAGTGGTACTTGTCTATTGATGAGCGATGATTGAGGAATATTTGAATTTTATTATATATATATATTATATTAATATTTAAAAAATAAATATATTTTTATAATCAAGAGATAATCCCTAAGCCATTGTATTTATATTTAATAGTTATTCTATTAAGGTATTTCTCAAAGTAAATGTTTAATAAATTTAATGGTGATTATTCTCTTATTTTAAGTGACACAGTGTATATTAAACCATTTCAGATATTTTTGGTAAATTAAATCCTTTTTAGAGAATAATTTTCCATTAAATTATACATATTCGATTTATTGATTTTTGTTAAATACTGAATAGATATTCTAAAATAATAATTTTACACTAGAAAATCAAGAATCTATTAATTTGAAAATGAAGTTAATGAGATGGTGGAAATTAAATTTAACCTAGTTTCTCAGTCTAAGAATTTTAAAGATATTCTAATAGTATTAGAAGAAACATCCCTAAAGCCTTTTGATATGATAATATCAAGTAAGACATGGGATCAAACTTTTATAAATCATAATTAATATTATTTAGTTTGAATTAGATATTCATATATAAATTTATTAAAATAAAAAAATAAAAATTTTATATGATCCATCATGATACTATTTAAATTTATGCTCTAATAAAAAGAAATTCATAAATAATCTTAGATAATTTAAAAATTTTTATATTGTTATTTTTTTAAATAAGTGATATAACAGTTTTTGTAAAATGATTGAAACAGATAATTCATAATGAGGAATCTAAAAAATGGATAATAATAATATTTTATAGATGAAAAAAAGAAATGAAATATAAAAAAATATTTAAAACTACTTATTTAGACATTCATGTAAATCCAAATATAAATGCTAAAAAAGTGAGAATAGATTAATCAAAACTTTATTAACGAATGATTATAAAATTTTGTGATTTTTTTATATAAATTGAATCTCCATTTAGTCAATTCTTGAAGTATTATAAAAGATGGATATTAAATTTATTCAAAAGTGATAAACAATAAAATTATTTAATTGAAAGAGAATTAAAATAATAAGATTTTTTAAAATGTTTTTTCATTTATAATTATTATTATTTAAGAAATAATGTTAAAACAAATTTTCATAATTGTATTATCTATATAATACTGTTAATGCAACTGTAGTATTAATCAATATGATGCAATTGCTTGTATTTTATTAACAACTGATTCTAACTGTAATTTATAATTTAATGATAGGCATGTATGATGAATTTATGAATCAATGCCAGGAGATATAGAATTAAAATTTAGGATGCTCTTATAATCTCAATCGGAATGCTTGTATTAATTAATTAACTGGGAGTGGGAATATTGAATAACGATGTAGAATATAATATATATATAGGTATATTTTAAAATGGATGCAGAGAAGTTAACATTTTCCATTTAAAAAATTTAGGTTGTGATAATTCATATTCAAAATATGCTTGTTTAAGTGTAATAAATAAAGATTGTTTTTGGAATGTTAATTATTGCGAAGATTCTTAAAAAATAATGTTTTCAGATGATTCTAAAGAGCAAATATATCCTTATCCTGTTACTCCATAATTATGTGCTAAATATCAAAAACATCCTTGTATTTGATTTAAATAATAAAGGTATGAATTCAGGACCTTAAGGAGATTATAAATGCGTTTCAATTAATTACATATAATTTAAAGAATTAAAATGTTCAACTTTGGGTTTGAATCAATTAGGATGTATATCAATTTAGACTGAATCAGAAATGTGTAATATTTTATATATTATATTAGGTTTATTTCATAATAATTAATGTAAAAACATAGAACCTTCAGAAATAACAGAATGTACTTAAAAAGTAAACAAACTAGCATGTTTATCTATTATAAAACCAAATTTGTTTTGTTAATGGAAAGAAAATGAATGCATTACTTTTAAATTTGATTAAAAACTTGAATGCAATGAAATATATGATGTAAGCATTAATGTTTGTTCTGAATAAGAGGGTCTTTGTATGTTTGATTTCTTAAATTAAAGATGTAATCAAATAAATTAAAAATAATTGCAATAATTAAAATGTGATACTCCTGGATTAACAAAATCTGCATGTTTATCTATTAAAAACTAATACTGTACTTTTAATTAAGGTTTTTGTTAAACTTTATCAGAAGATGATCTAAGTAATTATCAATGTTAATCATAATTAAATTAAGCTGCTTGTATTAATATTAAAACAAAAGGTTAATTATGTTTATGGAATGGATAAAGTTGCTAAAATGTAGAGATAAATCAAGATCTAAATTGCAATCACTTCATTAAATTATAAGTGAATGGAAATGTTTGTTAAGCAATTGCTAAACCTCTTGAAATGTGTAAATATGATGAAANCAAAAGTGATAAACAATAAAATTATTTAATTGAAAGAGAATTAAAATAATAAGATTTTTTAAAATGTTTTTTCATTTATAATTATTATTATTTAAGAAATAATGTTAAAACAAATTTTCATAATTGTATTATCTATATAATACTGTTAATGCAACTGTAGTATTAATCAATATGATGCAATTGCTTGTATTTTATTAACAACTGATTCTAACTGTAATTTATAATTTAATGATAGGCATGTATGATGAATTTATGAATCAATGCCAGGAGATATAGAATTAAAATTTAGGATGCTCTTATAATCTCAATCGGAATGCTTGTATTAATTAATTAACTGGGAGTGGGAATATTGAATAACGATGTAGAATATAATATATATATAGGTATATTTTAAAATGGATGCAGAGAAGTTAACATTTTCCATTTAAAAAATTTAGGTTGTGATAATTCATATTCAAAATATGCTTGTTTAAGTGTAATAAATAAAGATTGTTTTTGGAATGTTAATTATTGCGAAGATTCTTAAAAAATAATGTTTTCAGATGATTCTAAAGAGCAAATATATCCTTATCCTGTTACTCCATAATTATGTGCTAAATATCAAAAACATCCTTGTATTTGATTTAAATAATAAAGGTATGAATTCAGGACCTTAAGGAGATTATAAATGCGTTTCAATTAATTACATATAATTTAAAGAATTAAAATGTTCAACTTTGGGTTTGAATCAATTAGGATGTATATCAATTTAGACTGAATCAGAAATGTGTAATATTTTATATATTATATTAGGTTTATTTCATAATAATTAATGTAAAAACATAGAACCTTCAGAAATAACAGAATGTACTTAAAAAGTAAACAAACTAGCATGTTTATCTATTATAAAACCAAATTTGTTTTGTTAATGGAAAGAAAATGAATGCATTACTTTTAAATTTGATTAAAAACTTGAATGCAATGAAATATATGATGTAAGCATTAATGTTTGTTCTGAATAAGAGGGTCTTTGTATGTTTGATTTCTTAAATTAAAGATGTAATCAAATAAATTAAAAATAATTGCAATAATTAAAATGTGATACTCCTGGATTAACAAAATCTGCATGTTTATCTATTAAAAACTAATACTGTACTTTTAATTAAGGTTTTTGTTAAACTTTATCAGAAGATGATCTAAGTAATTATCAATGTTAATCATAATTAAATTAAGCTGCTTGTATTAATATTAAAACAAAAGGTTAATTATGTTTATGGAATGGATAAAGTTGCTAAAATGTAGAGATAAATCAAGATCTAAATTGCAATCACTTCATTAAATTATAAGTGAATGGAAATGTTTGTTAAGCAATTGCTAAACCTCTTGAAATGTGTAAATATGATGAAATAACAAAAAATTGTGTTTAAAGCTCGCCAAATGATTATTGTACTACTCCATATTTAAATCTATATGGATGCGTAAGTATTTCAAGATAAAATTAAATTTGTCAATGGATAGATTCGACTTGTAAAGAAATTTTAGTAATACCATTTGAAACTAGTTGTAGTAGTTTAAAAAATGCAAATTATTAAGCATGTTAACAAGTATATGAAAATAATGATATGGGATGTTATTATAATTTTAATATATTAGAATGTGTACCATTATTAATAAGCACAGATAATGAAAACAATAACAATTTCTAAGAAATACAAAAGGCTAATTAATTCTTAGCAACTGTGACATGTTATGATATATCATTAGGATTGAATAGAGTAATATGTGGATCTATCACAACAGAAAATATTCTTTGTAGATGGCATTAAAATAGTTGTAAATTTGTAGAAAAAGATGCTATTTCATAAATTCCTTGTGCAGATTTAAAATTTGCAAATCCATTAACTTGTGCATTAGTAGAATATAACAATGAATTTTGCAGATATTTTAAATAAGAGAAAGGATGTATCAATTAATTAAAAGGTGAAATGTATTGTAATGATCTTGGGCTCAATTCAGTTAGTTGTAGATAAGCAAAAGGAAATTGTTACATTGATAATGGTAGATGCTTGAGTCTTGGAGAAATTTTATCTTCAAATAATCCTACTGTTTTAATAATTTTATAAAAATTATAATGTTAATCTAATAATCCAACAAAAATGGTTTGTCTAGAAATATTAACAAAAGGTTAATTGTGTTAATGGTCTAATAAGTATTAATAATGTAAAGAAATTTTGGTACTTAGAAATAAATAATGTGCAGATTTTTCATCATTCCAAGTAAATGTCAATGTTTGTGCATCAATTGTCATGGATAATCCAAATAATATTATTTTAGGTATTGAATAATCTTTTGAACAACAGAATCCTGGTTATTGTGAATTTGATAGATTATATAAAATTTGTAAGATAAAGAAGAAGGCTTGTACAACTAAATGTTGTACAGAAAATGAAGAAATAGGAATAAATGCTCATTCATGTAGTAGATTTTCTAGTCAAGAACCAGGAGTTTATTGTTATTTTGATAACTTCAGATGCTAGGAACTAACTAATTTAGATGTAGATATATCAAATTCTAATAATGTTAAAATTTACTATAACACAAAGAAATTTACTTGTGCTTAAATGAATAAGAATTCTTGTCATATGATAGATTGGTCAACTACTTAAACTTGTTATTTTAATGGATTTGCTTGTGTAAATTTAAACTTAAAAGGTTAAGTTAATTTGTTAGATTTTATTGAACCCACTGCCATTCTTAATATTTATGCTTGTTTATCAATTGAGGCAGTTAATGCTGCTAACCCAAGTTAAAAATATTTTGAATATAATCAATAAGCCAAAAATTGTAAACTTCTTCTACCACCATATCCATAATATTAAAGTTGTGAAAGTGTAACTGGAAATTCAAATATTTGCTTAGGACTTACACATAACTTATATTGTAGATGGGATACAAAAAATTTGAAATGTGTTACAATTACATTAGATTAATAATAGGAAATCATTAATTGTAATTAGAATCAAAATATCAAATCTTGCATAGAAAATAAATATTCAGCTTGTCAATTTTCTCTTGCTTAAGATAAATGTATTTATGCACCTTTAGATCAGGATTGTTCATATTTCAATACTACAGGCAAAGTAAGTCAGAAAACTTGCTCATTAATAACAAAAAAAGGTTAAATTTGCTAATTTTAAAATAATTATTGTGTAGCATCTATTAAATAAATTTAAGAAGGATGTGATTTAGAAGGTATAAATAAAAGAGGGTGTTATAAAAATTCTAAAGGAAATTGTAGATGGGATGATGTTTCAAATTAATGTTATGAAAATAAAACAGCTTTGAATGAATTGGAATGCAGTAATAATTTAAATTAAATATTATGTATGTAAGTAACTAAACAACCTTGTATGTGGAATGATGATTAGTTTGAATGTCTTTATTTTACACAAATGACAAAATTTCAATATGAAGAATAGAATCCTAAGAATTAATATAATGAATGGGCTTGTACTTTAATAGTTGGTGCAGGTTATACATTTGATCCTATTAATTATAAGTGCAAATTACTCTTAGATTCATAAAATTTTGGATGTTCTGACATTTAAATGAATAATTATGCATGTTAATTTTTAACAAAAGGTTCAAAATGTTATTTTGATTAAAATGAAATACCTCCAAACAAAAAATGTAAAATTTTTGACATGGATTAAAGTGTATGTTCAACTAACTACGCTATAAATATTGAAGTGTGTATGAATATACCAAAATCATGTAAATTTTCACTTAATACTATGTCTTGTTTAAGTTTATTAGTTAAAGTAGATGATACTTGTTTAGAACTTTAAGATTTGTAAAAATAAGGCGAATATGTTAATAAATTAGGATGTGCTTCTATATCTGATAAAATAGAGGGTAATGATGGACAATATTAATGTCATTTAGATAAAGAATTTGGTTAATAATGTAATTATTAAAAATTTTGCTTTTGGGATAATTATACATGCAAAATAAGCAAATAATAAATTCATATATATGATAAAGAACATTACATTATTGGTTAATATTCTTAATGGGTATATTTAAAAAATAATTGTACTAATAATGATGGTTGTAATAAATATGTAACAGTACCAGAAAATAAACAACAAGACTTTATTTATCCAGGCAAAAGCAATAATTTAATATGTGGATTAGGAAGATGTGATTACACAAATGAACCATGCTATTCAAATGCTGATTGTGAAAATATTGCCATCGAAAATCTTTAACTTAATGATGATGGTTCAATTAAGAAACCTAAAATTTAGTCTTAGATTTGTCGATCAATTTGTTAACAATAATTAGACCCTTAACCATGTCTTGATTCTGAAACTCCTCCTAAAGAGGTGTTAGTGGATCCTAGCTTAAAATTCTAAAATTGTTAAGGTAGATGTAAGGAATCAAATAAAATTTGTGAGAGTTAAGCTGATTGCGGACAATATATATTATATGATGAAATTATTGAAGAAGTATTTAATGAAACAACTAAAGAATATTACAATATAACAATCCCTGCTATTTGGGCTGATGATTAATGTAGATTGTAAAATTATATCTGTTCGCTTAATTCCAGGTCATGTTCCAAAGAGTCTGATTGTTCACCTATCGTAATTAATTCTTGGATACTTTAGGAAGCAGAGTGCAAAAAATAAAATGTTTATACTAAAACATAAATCTGCATAGGGTTTTATTATCTTCAATTAAAATGTAATAATACTTTATCTAAGGCACTTTGTCTTCTAATGACAGAATAAAACTGTTTCTTCGATTTAAATTAAGGAGGTTGTATATAACTTGAAGGTAATGAACATAAAGTTCCAAATTGTGAGAGCATTAAAAATACACAATAACCTACTAATTAATGTGATGGCTTCAGTATTATTTGTAAATTTAGTGGGTAACCTCAAAATGAATTTCGAAATACATGTCAATAAGTATCTCAAAAAAGGATGAATTGTAAAGATGGCAGTTAATCCAATGCTGCAACAGATTCTTGTCCTTCAATATTGAGATCTTATATTAATTGTGTTAAGGAAGCTGATACTTTAAATAACTAGAAATGTGTTGAAATTGCTTATCCTTCAATTTTAAATTGTGCTGGAGCTATAGACAATTGTCGTTATGAAAATAATATCTGCGTATCTAGTTTAAATAATAATATATGTACATGTGATAAAAGTTATAGTAGAGCTTTATGTATTTAATGCAATTGTAATTATGATTTACTTGGATATTGTTAATTTAATGAAAGCCCCCCTCCATTATTACCAGATTAATCAAATAAATATTACTTATGTTATGAAGTAAATTAATTAACAGTAGAATAAAATATTAAGAAAAAAGTTTGTGGAATGGTGGAACAAGCTTGTAGATATACTTTTATGTGTGAAGATGCAACTCATTATAGTTGTGATTACATTGTTAATTTTGTTGTATCTAAAAAAGCTTGTATTAGATGTAAGTCTTTGAGTGTTTATTATGATGAAGAATCATAATTTTGCAATTTATTAAATAATGATATAAAATCTTGCAATCTCTTAAATAAATAAGCATGTTTATAAAAGACAAAAGATATAATGTGTAAATGGGAAAATTATGAATGTAAATAAATTGAAAAAATAACAGCATCAGATAGTAGAGAGTGTTCAATATATAATAGAGAAGCTTGTATATAATTTTCATATCATTGTTGGTTTGATATAAATATTGGTTATTGTACAGAATTTGATCCATTATAAGGAGATTGTCATTTATTATTAAATAGAGATCTTTGTATGTATTCATTAAAATAATCATGTTAATGGGATTTAATTAATAATAAATGTATAATAGATAATTAAGAAATTACATAATGTAAAGGTTTAAATAAATTTGGATGTTTAAATCAATCAATTTTATAATGTGTCTGGTCTGATAGTTATGAATGTGAATAAGCTGAATTAAATAATAATATTTAATCATGTGAATCTCCATTAAATTATTCATAAACAGCCTATATAACAAATTTTAGTAGAAGGGTTTGTTCTTCAATTAATATTAATTAAAGTTGTTTCTTAGATAATTATTATTAATGTAGAAAAATTATTATAACTGATAAAATTAATTGTGATAGTTATGGATTAAATAGATTTGGTTGTATTAATAGATCATTAGGATAATGTTAATTTATAGATAATGATTAAAAATGTATAAAAAATTTAAATGATTAAATTGGATGTGTAGATTCTTTAAATAAATGGGCTTGTATATCTTAGAAATAAACATGTAAATTTGATAATAATATATGTACTTTTCATTAAGTTAATACAATTAATGATATCATTAATTCAAATTCAAAATTTGCTTATTCAAAAACAGTTTGTAGTTCTTTAGATTAAAATTTAAAAAATAGTTTAATTTATAGTGAAATATAAAATAGATGTATTGATGTATCTAATAGATAACCTTTTATTGATAATTGTGATAGATTTACAACAAATAAGTATTCTTGTTAATAAAAGACATTATAAACATGTGAATATAATCCAATTGATAATAATTGTATTAAAACATCTTAATAAATTTTAAAAATACTTAATAATTGTTTTACTGAAAAAGATTTGAATTGGGTTTCTTGTATTTCTTTACTTTCAAATTGTAAATTTAATGGAGAAAAATGTTTACCTATTGATTTATAAATTGATACTTGTCAATATTTATATTAATAATAATATATAGTAAAAGATAAAGTTTGTGCAATTACAAACGATCAAAGTTGTAAATTAAATGTTAATACAAATACATGTGAAATTGTATAAATAACTGATAATTTCTAATGTTCAACTCCAGGGTTAAATAAAAAAAGTTGTATATTCTAAACCAAAGGTTATCTTTGTAGATTTGAAAATGATTAATGTATTTTTGATTTTGGTTATGCATTATGTGAAGATATGATTAATGAAGAAAAATGCTATTCAATTAGAACTAAAGGATAATATTGTATATTTGATTAAATAAAAGGTTGTTAGTAAATTGATAATACTTAGATAGATTTAAATAAATGTATTCATTCATTTAAAACTAATCCTATTACTTGTTCAAGAAGTACAGACATAGCTTGTTTTTATGATATTGAGACAAAAAAGTGTAAATCTTTTGTTGATAATGCAGAATAATATTAATCTCCTAATTTTAATTGGGATAATTCAATATCATTTAATAAATAAGCATGTTAAAGATATTTAATAGAAGAGAAAAAGGTATTCTGGAAAAGAAAAGATGATTAAGAAGAATGCGTTGAAGCTTTGGATGTTGAACTCAAACAATTAAAATGTGATGATATTGTTAATGAATTTACCTGTGTTAATATTTAAACACCATCTTAATTTTGCAAATATGAAAAATTTATTTGTAAATCAATTAATCTTGAGGATCCTTAGATAAATAAGTAATGTAATTACTATGAAAAAGTAAATAGTGGTGCTTTTTGTTAATTAACGATTGATGTTGCTTGTGAATTTGATATGAGAGAAAAAAAATGTTAAGAACTTACATAAACTTCTTTAGTGGAATGTGATTATAATCAACCTTAAAAAAAGGGCTACAATGGTAAAGCATGCGAAAAAAATAATAATTGTACATTTAATAATGGTGGTTGTTATAGAAATATTGATTAATCAATTGCTTTTTGTAATGATGTTACGGCTGATAAAATATAACTCTGTAAATAAATTATTACTTAAGGTTGTTCTATTATATCTAATAGATGTACAGATATATAACAAAACAATTATTTTTCTATTAAGTGCGAAGAAGCAGTTAATTTAGAAGGATGTATTAAAATTTAAACAAAAGGTTAAACTTGCTATTATGATTTAAAATCAGAGTAATGCAAATTCTAAAATTTATATTCTAATTTTCAACCAAAATGCTTGGAATTGAATTACATAAATTCATACGAATTTTGTGTATAAGCAATAGATCAATCATGCAAATATAATTAAATTATGAATAAATGTGAAGTTGCTACTGGAAATAATTATGATTGTCTGCGTGAATTGAACAAAATTGCATGTTATAATTTAACTGATAAATTATAGTAATGTAAATTTCTAAATTATTGTTATGGACCAAATAATAAAATATTGGATTGCAATCCTAATAATTATTATGATTGCTGTCTTGAAGCATCATCCAAAGAGTCATGCTTATTTCAAAAATAATTTAAATGTTAATGGTAAGATAAATGTTAGGCATATAAATAAGGAGCTTAAAATAAATGCGATCAAATTAAAAATGCCTCTGTTCTTGTATGTACATCCATTTAAGATTCATATTGTATATTTGACTCTGAAAATTTCACTTGTAAATAAATTATACCTTAAGCCTGTGATGAAATCTAAACTTCTGATTAATGCAATAGAATAACAGATTTTCCATGTATTTGGGATGAACTCTATGAAACTTGCATATACAAGAAAAAAGATAGTTTTGATTAATGTAGTTAAATAAAAGATTAAAATGGTAATTTGAAGGCATGTACTATGATTGAAAGAAGTGGGTAAAAATGTATATTTTAGAATAATTAATGTGAGACATTTTATTAAAATGATAGTATTAATAATTGTAATAGTAATCTTAATATTTAATCTTGTTTATAATAAACTATTAGTTAGTGTGAATGGGTAATAAAAGAAGTTTAAATAAGGAAGAGTAAGTAAAATAAGGAATTTGATAAAGTAGAAATTGGAGAATGTAAATAATTGACTGAATTTAGTTAAAGAGAGTGTAACTCATCTCTGAGTTATAAATCATGTATATCAATTCAAAAGATTGGTTCATTTTGTGTATGGAAGAATAACTAATGCTAAAATTTCTATATATCTGAATATATGAATAGCAAAATTAAAAAACATGAATTAGCTTCAAATGTGAATCCAAGTGTCTGTGGGTTATATGAAGATGATAGATTAATATCTTACTCTTAAAAATTAGCTTCTTGTATTGAAGTAAAAGATATAAATCAATTATCATGCTCATAATCAAAATTTGGTTTAAATTAAATTTCTTGTTTTCATATTCAATTTGAATTATGTAAATGGAATAATGTATAGAAAACATGTGAATAAGTCACTAAAGAAAATACAAATTTTGAAATCTCATGTAATTTACCTGGTTTAAATTCAAAAGCATGTACATTAATCAATGTACAAGATAGTTGTGGTTTCATAGGCAATGGTTGTGGTAAAATAGATTTAAGTGTTAATTGTAAACATTAAGGATTGAACAAATTTGGTTGTTTATAAATTACTAATTATCCTTGTGCTTGGATTAAAAATGAAGAAGATAATAATTATCATTGTGATGACTATTTGCCTTATGATTCTTGTAACAATATTAAGTTATAAGTTAACTCTATGGTATGCTCATCTGTTTAAGTTGATGCATGTTTTTACAACAAAGAAACTCAAAGTTGCTAGATTCCTATTGAAACTTATGCTGATTGTAATATTGAAGGTTTAAATTACATTGCATGTTCTAATATAAAAGGATGTTATTATGAAAATCATAAATGCTAAGCAATTAAAGAAGAAAGTTACAACTGTATTAAATATCCTTAAGCTCATGTCGATATCTGTAAAAAAGCTTAAGACTTATGCAAATATAGTCCTTTGAAAAATGGTTGTATTACTTCACAATCGAATGAAATATGTAAGAGATAAGGTCTAAGTTAAGCAGGTTGCATTATATCATAAAATTAGTGTTTTTGGAAAAATAACAATTGCGAATGTTAAAGCATTAAAAATGTTTTACCAGTTTGTGATGAAATAGTTGAGTCATAAAAATGTAAATCATTTGAATATTGTATATATTAATCTTAGTAAACAAATAATAATGAAGTTAATTAATAAATTGAATATTAAAATTTTGGTACATGTAGATAAAAACTTTGCTCAGATCTTAAATAATAAGAATGTTAAAATTACTAAATATTAAATACTACTTGTTATTTAAACAATAAAAATTAATGTTAATAGGCAAATTCATGTGAAGAGGTTGAAAATCCATATATTTTATGTTCAAAATTAGTAATTAACGGTGTGCCTTGTATTCAAAGTATTGATTTAAATTCCTGTAAAAAATTAGTATGTTCAGAATTAAATAAAGTTATGTGTGAAAAATTTTCACTTTATTGCCAATATACTGATCGTTGTTAAACAAAGTAATGTTCAGAATTATATACAGAATAAGTTTGTAGATATTATAATTGTGAATGGAATAAAAATACTAAAGAATGTTAGAATAAATTAAAATGTGATACCTATAAAACCTAAGAAAATTGTAATTTAAGTTCTTATGATAATATTTAATGCAAATGGTTGGAAAATGATAATGAGATGTTTTGTAGTCAATAAGGTTGCTAGTTTTTATCAAAAAATTAATCATGTAGGAATTTTTTTATTAATAACAATATTTGTGTACAACTTAAAGATGAATCATGTGTTTAATGCGAGGAAATTAAAGATTTATGTTTATGCTTAGATCAAGAATATTGCAGATTCAATCCAAAATTAAATTAATGCTAATCTATCAGTTGCAATAATTTTATTAATGAAAATTAATGTCTACAATATCATTTTTGTGAATACAATTAAGAAAATCAGGTAAAATTAAAATATTATTTAGGCTTGTCATTTTCATTGTGCTAATCATAAAAATGATTTTGATTGCGATCAACATTCTTTATACTGTTATTGGAATTATGAACTATAAATCTGTATGTAACCAGAGATAACAACTTAGGTTATTATAGGTCCTGTTATAAACAATTTGAATATGAACCTTTATTTGTCTGTTGGTATCCTTGTTTTTATTTTATCGTGAACAGATAAGAATTATTAAGTTTTACATTAAAAATATCTTATATATTATTATAAATTCAAAACTCAATTATAAGAATGGGTATTATTATTCGTAAGACTAATCCATAGATATTAATGATAATAATATTTATTGGAGACTCTCCTTAAACATTGGTTTTGTTTTATTAAGTACATATCTACTTCTCAGTATCCCAAATACAGCTAAATAAATAATTGTGACATTGCTTACGATTATAATTATTTTAACAAAATGGAATACATATCTAGGAAATAAAGTCAATAAAATACCTAATACTATTAATTAAATTAACATCTAGAAAGTGGACAAGTGTCTTAATTAAAACTTTCGCATTAAATAGACTTACAAATATTATGAAATCTATCATATTCACAAGAATCTTAATGTGCTAAACAAATACAAGGATCGATAATTTCTTGGCAACTTACGCAACTTGAATCTGATAATGGAACACAGACTTCATCACCTATTTCAGCTCCATTACATAGGGAATACTCTATTAAGAGATATCTGCATCCAATATCTGAACAAAATTAGTCCTCTCCATCTCTCCCTATTAAAGCACATTATTTCCCATTTTGTTTAACGTTCATGCAATTTTCGTTACTTTGTGAAGAGCAAAAATTTGAGTTGATACAACTTTTATTTTATTGAATCCATTCACATTTTTTTTCTTCACATTTCCTTTTTGTATTAAAATATTAACATTCTATTGTTTTACATGTTGACTCAAAAATACAATCCTCTGGATATTATTAACATTTAATAAAATCTAAAGTTTGACAATCTGGTGAAGCAAAACAATTCTTACTATCTAGCTTTTTGAAACAGTATTAATTTTTTAGATTATAATTAGAACAATCATTATACGGATCCACTATTTCATCACATGTTTTTGCTAATTTACACTCTTTATTAGAGGTTAAATAACAAATATCAGTATCTATTATTTAACCATCACATTAATCTATTGAATAAAAATCACATGTCTTTCTTAAACACTTTATTAAATTTTAATCTATTAACTATTAAGTAATCTCATCAACATATTAAAGATTAGAGGTAGCAATATAGCAATAATTTAAATTTTAACATTTTATCGATTCAGTGACAGAAGGGCAGTCTGGATACTTATTTGGCAAAGCCTTACATTAGCATTTAGAATAATTCCATTAACAATCTATCAAATCATTGCACCCTAATTTATTGATCCCTTTTGTTGAGCAGATATCATTTAATTCTGATGGTATACAACCATTTCCTAAAATATTATATTTACATCTATCCGTTTCTATTTATGAACAAACCTTATTATTTGCATATAAAGCATCTTCACATTTTAAATTCATATTTTTATCATATTTCTCACATCTTCCGTTTAAATAAACACAATCATCAATAATTGAACATCCAATACTATTAATTCCTAATTAATTACAACGATTGTCTTCAGATACTTTAAATAAAATACAATTTCTAATACTAGAATTATAAAAGCAAGGAACATCCATAATTGAAGTACATACTAATGCATTAACCTAATGATTATATCCTAAACATGCATCAAAATTTTTGATTAATTTGCATTAGTATTATTATATAAAATTATTATAAACCCATCCACAAGGATAATTTGTAATTTATAGACATGCATATTCATTTAATCCTGGATAATCACAAGAAATCTTTGTTATATCAACATAATCACAATCACTTCCTTTTGATCCACAAGGTAAAGATAAATTTATTATTGAACATGTTAAAGGATTAGTATTTTTGATTTAACAACTAATATCTGATGATTCATATTTTAAACATATTTTGTTTATATCATCCCATTTACATGGATAATCTTTTATATTTAAACAAGCTTATTTATTCATTCCAATAACATCACAAGTAAGATTCCTTAGATTATGTACTTTTAAGCATTTAAAATTCTAAGTATCACATACTACACTAGAACCATCATTTATTAATCTACATGTATTACAGTTTACTTATGCAAAAGATGATAAAGAAATTATCTAATTATTTTCTACATTTTTGCATTCCTTGTCTTTCCATTAACAAAATGTATTAGGTGTTCTAACACTCAAACAAGCAAGATAACTAAGATTAGAGTCACATTATTAATTAGATTGCTTATTAAATTCAAGACAAATTTATTTTTATTTTTAATCCCAAATGCATTCATTCAATACTTATTATAAACAAGATTATTTATTTAATTTTTATGAGCAACCTATCTTTTTCGATTGCATATAAGCAGAACATTTATTTTAAAATATACACATTTCTCCTTATTTTTCAACATCCAAGCATGATCTTTCACTACCCCATTAGTCTTAAATATCTTAACATCCATCATTTGGATTCTTTAATTTTTATAAACATTATTCTTTAATAAAATCCCAATAACAAGGCAAATTAATAAATTAAATACATTATTCTTTTGTTTAGACTTATTCACAATTATCTGGTTCTATGTCTATACATCCTAATTTATCCAAATTGAAAATACAAAAAGAATCCTTAATATTATAACACACTTTTCTTGAAACATTTATTAAAGATAAACATTTTTAATTTTATTCTGAATATTATTTACATTCTTCATTTAACCATTAACATTAAAACTAATCCTAAAATAAACAACTTTCAATTGTAATTGCTAATTAACAACAATCTTTAATTTTTGTAGGGTCACAATTAAGAATATTATAATTCGGTCCATAACAATAATGATAGAATTGACATTATAAAGATTATTAAGTAAGAGTCAAACAAGCAATTTAATTTAAACCTCTTATGCATTAGAATTCTATCTCTCCTTAGGCATTCTCACATTTATGCTCTAATGGATTGTATTTGCAAGGAATATCAATAGTATTTTCACAAGGAACTTAACTATTAATTGCAGATAAACTTTTACAAAAGCCTGACGTTTTATCTAATTTAATTAACTAACAACTCTTAGTTAATTCATTATATTGACAAAATTGTTTTTCTGTAGTGATAGTCAAGCATCCAATAAGATTCGCAACTTAACTACATTCTAATTGAGAATATTCAGTTGGATTTATAGATAAACATTTATTTTAATCTCTTTTGCATCCTTCTCTCATAGCTTTATTACATTCATCGACAGAAAATTCATTACAAAGTTTAATATTTTATGTTGCTTTTATTTAATAACACCCATTTGAAAAAGTACACTCTTAAGGTTTTAATTCACAAGCTTTTTTATTATAACCAATAAATTCTGGTTTAGTATCAACGCATTGGACAGATGTAGATGATGTAACAATTTCGCATGATTTCATTTAATTATTAAAACGGCAGGCTTGAGTTTCATTTATCTAACAAAAGATTCCTGAATTTACTTTCTAAATTGTATTGCAATTAGATGATTTAAAATTTTAAGGATCTTAAAATTAACATTAATTTTCTAAAAATATGCAATATTAAAAAGGAGTCTATATTGATAAACATGCAGGCTCATTTAATTTATCATTGCATTTTAATGTAGTAGCTTCTGAGATTAATGTTTCTATGCATTCACCTATCCATTTAGTTTTCAATTGGCCATAAGTATTTATTTAATCAGATTTAACAATATTATTAAGAGAGCAAGCTAATAAATTAAATGAGTTTAGGTTCTAAATGAAATAATTCTAATTAATTGTTTAATTTTTATCTTCAGGATTTTTGTACACAATACACTTTTTTGTCTCAATATCATAAAAACAAGCTATGTCTGTACTTCTTGAACAAGTAATAGGATTAGTTTTAAATGAATGAATACATTTATTTAAATCTATCTAAGTATTATCAATTTACTAACAACCTTTTATTTAATCAAATATACAATGTTATCCTTTAATTCTAATTGAATAACATTTTTCTTCATTAATCATATCTTCGCATAATGCATATCCATAATCAAAAATACATTAATCATTTTCAAATCTACAAAGATAACCTTTGGTTTAGAATATACAACTTTTTTTATTTAACCCTGGAGTTGAACATTAGAAATTATCAGTTATTTATACAATTTCACATGTATTTGTATTAACATTTAATTTACAACTTTGATCGTTTGTAATTGCACAAACTTTATCTTTTACTATATATTATTATTAATATAAATATTGACAAGTATCAATTTATAAATCAATAGGTAAACATTTTTCTCCATTAAATTTACAATTTGAAAGTAAAGAAATACAAGAAACCCAATTCAAATATTTTTCAGTAAAACAATTATTAATTGTTTTTAAAGTTTATTAAGATGTTTTAATACAATTATTATCAATTAAATCATATTCACATGTTTATAATGTCTTTTATTAACAAGAATACTTATTTGTTGTAAATCTATAACAATTATCAATAAAAGGTTATCTATTAGATACATCAATACATCTATTTTATATTTCACTATAAATTAAACTATTTTTTAAATTTTAATCTAAAGAACTACAAACTGTTTTTGAATAAGCAAATTTTGAATTTGAATTAATGATATCATTAATTGTATTAACTTAATGAAAAGTACATATATTATTATCAAATTTACATGTTTATTTTTAAGAAATACAAGCCTATTTATTTAAAGAATCTACACATCCAATTTAATTATTTAAATTTTCTATACATTTTTAATCATTAGCTATAAATTAACATTATCCAATTGATCTATTAATACAACCAAATCTATTTAATCCATAACTATCACAATTAATTTTATCAGTTATAATAATTTCTCTACATTAATAATAATTATCTAAAAAACAACTTTAATTAATATTAATTGAAGAACAAACCCTTTTACTAAAATTTGTTATATATGATTTTTATATATTTGATAATGGAGATTCACATGATTAAATATTATTATTTAATTCAGCTTATTCACATTCATAACTATCAGACCATACACATTATAAAATTGATTGATTTAAACATCCAAATTT